CACACACACACACACACACACATAATTTCTCCCAAGTTGTCTCTGCCAAATATATGCCAAACTTAGCTGCTTGCTACATGTGGTGAATGACTATACACTTGGAGATCAACAGAAGTAGGTCAGGGGTTATTCTCCCTAAGAGTGATCAGCCATCTAGAGCAAGCAGTCACCACTGTTCATCCCACAACAAGTAGGACCCACTCACTTCTGATACGGACAGTAGTTGACTTTCCTTGTAGGAGACCCCAGAGAGGCCAAGCCCACCCAAGGGTGACCAAGGTTGGGCCACCATCATGAATCTAGGGTCTGCCCATCTTGTCACATGTATGCCTCTAGTTCCTCCCCTTCCTATCATGTGTCCACCCCAGCTCATCCCCTTCCTGTCACACCTATGCCCATTGTATATCCCCTCCTATTGCTTGTATGCCGATTGTACTGCCCCTTCCTGTGACGTGTGGTTACCTGTAATCACGCCCCCCTAAGTAGCTATAACCCTTGGTTAGCAATAAACAGGGTGTCCGCCCAGCTGGATCTCTCCGGATGTTGCCACCCCACCTCCCCTCGGCCCACGCTGTGCACGAACCTGGCTGGTAAGATCATGGCCGTCCACAAAGTGAGCATGCTACTATGAACTGTGTCTGACTCCGTTATTTCAATCTCTCTTCTCTCATGCTCTCTACAACTTTAATCTGTATGTATCTCAACTGTACAATTGTGCCTACCGGACCACTGATGATTTGTTGGGGTCCCTCTTTTCCCCAAAATGTGGGGCTAATTGAAGGGTGGAGAAATAAATGGCTTGGTGAGCCTCGCCTTTCTAGTTCTTGGGTCTCTCGCTTTCTGATGGTCAGACCAGGATGCAGCTAGTTGCTGGCAAGGCTCATTTTCTGCAGGACATCCGCAAGGAGAAGCTGCATGGACCTACCCCAATGCAGCCCTGGGTGCTGGAGCAGCCCTGTGGAGACCCTGCCAGCGCTGAGATGCTTACACGCTTGATAATTCGGCTTTCCTCCTGCAGTTGGTGTCATAGTGTGTGTTTTGTGAGATGGAGGAGGGCTTTGTGAATTGGTGTGGGACATATGGGCTTACTGTTGGACTTGTGGGCTTGGGCAGCACTGGGTTGGGATGTTTTCTTGCTGTGCACTTAACTTTTATATAAAACTCTCTTATAAATGAGTTTCTGTGGATTTGTTTCTCTAAAGTACCCAGACTGATACAGAGCCTTCCACCAAACTGGCCAGGCCAGCTGTGGGCATCTCTCCTGAGCAGACAGGTGAGTCGAGTCTTCAGGGGAGAAGCCCCCCACCCCCGCACCACAGCCCTAGGGCCACCCACAGAGCCGGGCCCCGTCCCAAAGCGCCCACTCGCAACCTCGCTCGTCTCAAGCCCCGCCCCGCAGCTCGGCTTTT